CTCTGCTGCTAAAGTCCTTTTCACTGCAAAGGCTAGGCCCAGTAGACTGGTGCGGTGTCGATGCGGTGCCGTCCTTCATAAAGTGTTGTCGCTAGCGCTTCAACAGGCGCCAAACCCAGCCCCCTGACACGCCCCAGCGTTTGTAGCGAGAACGACTATGTAAAGACTCGACTCGTACTATGAGAGCAATATGGCAGCTACTTTCACCAAGGTATTCTCTACCGAGTTTAATCTAGTTGGAGGGCGGCCGAACTGCCCGACTATTTTGCCATTGAAGTGTTATGACATGCCACACGTATTCTAGGCAGGACAACTCGTCCGGACCACCAAACGCGAGCCCTTAGGCAACTGACATCATATATTCCTATCTTGCATCTCAAACACTTTCGTCACTCGACTGAGGAAGACCCCAATAGCCGGTTACCTGAAAACGGCCGAGAGAAGTTCTGCTCTTAAGAAGATAGCACTGGCAGCGGTCTAACGATTAGCGCTGGGACACGATCGGTTTCACTTGCGTGATCCAAGAATCGCGCGTCTGAGTCACTCTCTTCGCGAAGCATAAAAGCGGTCGCAACGCTGGCTTCGAGGCTCCTTCTTCTTGGTCAGAGCGTGTTCCAAAGATGAACCAGAGAACCCACCACTCCAAAAACCTTTCTTTTCTTCCAGAGCTGCAAGCGCTGTCCCGACCTGTAGTGAATGCTGTTCGCTAGAATTTTTCCAGGGGAATCGTCCGCTCCAAGGTCGCGTTCATTCTTCGCGACTCGAGTGATTCTGTACCATCGTGCACAGGTGCATTAAATACCAGTCGTTCGCAAAAACTATTTGCAGCAGTCTAACGACTAGTGGATGAGCGCGATCGATCGCAGTCGCACGACTGAGTAGCGAAAGTATGAACACCGTATTGGCGGGAGGGCATGAGGCAGTCGATCACTGTTCCCACAGTGCACCTCTACTAATAAAGTGAATGGGTGAGAGGTGTTAATGAGAGCGGTACCACGCTTGACGGTCTCCGCCCATACGATCGACGTGGACCGTACCTCTGACGAGTTGCTCTTCCTGGAAAGCGCGTCGCATAACGTGTGTGATTCTATTATAGCATATGACGTACATCTCTTCTCCTTAGTCAAAGCATTTTCTTACTACGTACACTCCTTATCCCTAAAATGGAGTGGGCGTGGCACTTGAACATGGCATAGAATGGGTTACTCGTGGGATATTTCAATTCGAGACAACTGTCATCTTGTTGACAGAGACATGACCACAATTGTGTCATAAATGAAAATATCTCTTCAGAGCCACAGCAATCGCCACGTTTAGTTGAAGTAGCAACCACGCCTACCACATCACAGAGATTTCGAGTGTATGTCACGGCAACGTACCGCCGCCGAACATATCGCTCTCTAGAAAGAAAGCATTAAAAAGAAAGCTGCATGTTCGCTGTGATAACTGCGTGGTCTAATGGGAAGAGAAAATCCCGCGGTAGCGCAGAATAACGAGATGTGTTCGCTACGCTCTAAGCTCCAGGATTGGGAGGAGACGGACAGGATGATCGCAACTTGTCGCGTCATATCGAGCGGCAAATTCTCGATAGGCATCGGTCTATCCATCAGAACAGCGGAACTTCTATGAATTCTAGCGAAGGTGAAACTTCATGTCGGCAGTTATCAAATTTTCCCGTTCCTTCAACACTCAAATTTACAAACGACCAAACTGGACAACTCGTCGTCGGGCGCGGAGGCGCTCGCCACACCCACCAGCGCGGCATATTACAGTTGTCCTGCCATTTACTCGGCTGCTGCTTAGTTTCTACTGGGCAATCGCTCCTTTTTCTCATTTTCTCAGAGTATTCCCTAACTTTTGTGAAATGTGTGGAGCAACCAGATGGTGAGGACTTTTGTTTGAAACATATAATTATATATCCAGGCTTTGTTTTCTGTTTTGTTTCTGTTTCGTGGCAGTCGATACAGAATCGAATCTCGAGTTTCTTGTCGGAGACGGCTTTTTCATTCGATCGTGACCCCATCGGCGATCATTGATGGTGATGAGCGCTGAAATGGAAAGAGAATGGATATGAATACAGAATACACCAGATATAGCAAGCAAATAGTGAAAATAAACGCGAAATGAAGGGTACTGACCCTGTTCGGAATGCGCCGCGCACCTGACTTCTATGCGTAGTTGCCTTCTAATGAGTATTTGGCCTATTCCATGACTTGCACCCGCTACTTGTCCCTTACAATAAGACATCTGTGACCCAAAACAATATGGAGCAATATGTGGGGATGTGAAGTCTGGCTAGCACGAAGAGGTTTGAATCTATGTCATGCCTATTTGGCCTCCAAGCCCTGAAGCTGAGGGCTCGCTCTCTTCACACCATTCTCAATGCTGAGAGTTACTAGAGGGTCTACTTAATAGATATTAGGTTGTTCGGAAAGAAATGCGCGTTGAATTTGTCCATTTATTTCTCTCCTACTATAGAAGATTTTTCAAAACAGTTTTGTCTATTAGAAAGAGATTTTTATTGTGCATCTTTTGATATATTTTTGTCTATGTCTACTTTGTTTTAAAGAAAGTTCAATTCCGGTCGATGCAGCACTCCTTGGCCGAGAAGAAAGTTGCAACAAACGCGAAGAAGCTCCAACTCTTAATTGCCAACGTTTTTGAGTCGCGCAGGCCGGCCGAGTTTTTCGAAAGAGGATCCCCCATCTTTGTCCATCTAATGTTGGCAACAAGATCATTTATAGTAGATGAGACTTTTTGAATTACAGCTGTTCGAATTTCGTCTCTATTATAAAAAAAAATTTTTAAACTCAACGACGGTGGCATTTCTTTGGCCCGAACAACCTTAATAGATTGCCACTGGGACCGACATGAGCCTAGAGTGCTCATAGGCCTCAGCTTCCACTGGGATTCATGCGAATTTTCACTTGTTGAACAGAGATGACACTTCTGTAATCCAACCGGATCACCTGACACTTCGAGAGGGTATAGCCTCAACTCATCGTGCGGACTGTGCGTTGGTTTCAAATTGGTCCAGATTATCAAACTTCTTGCCTTTCTACTGTCAAGCACCTCCTAGCTCCAGTTGCGTCAATAAAAGCTAGCCGCATTTTTTTTATGACGCCCAGTGCCAAGAAAACAACCCAGCGCAATAAAACCAAACACTAAAAATGCTGGTCGATAGGGTAGCACAGTTGTCACGTATGGATTCGAATCGCCCTTCTTACTATGAACGGTAAGCGCAGAAGGGAGCGCCTGCTTTAGTGAGAATAGTTGCCGAATGGTGTGGCTGCCCTCCGCCCACGACCAGACATAGAGTGAGCCTTCAAGAGCACGCCTCGAGCCGGGGGGCGCCGTTCGAATGATCACTTGCCGGGTTTTAAAATACTAAATGCAATAGACAAAATAATGAGAAAAAAGCAGAGATAAATTGCCCGATAACGCCTCATATAGAACACCCTGCGGAACGCGCTTGTACGTACATAAGGCAGGGAAAGGGTGTGGTCGGACGAACTCTCGCTCGTTGTTGTCATCTCTTTCGTCTTATCAGCTCACTCTCACAATTCGAAATGAAGAGGGTTAGTAGCGGAAGAACCGCACTTTTAGCAATTAAAAAGAAAGATGGGCGTTGCCGTGGCTAATGGGCGGGGTCATGGCGTCGTCGCGAGCTGTTCGAGCATTTCTCACGTATTTTTGATCCGCGAAAGTAAGGATAAGACTGTCTGCCCCGTTTATGGCCAAAAACTGAAGGCAAAATGCAAACCTCCGTATTTCGTTGCCTCCAGTAGATCTTAGCTGCGACATATTTTCGACATCGCATCACAACGTAGATGGCAAGACCTTGCGATGCGGTAAAGAATACCTGAAAATGTTTTGTTCGTTATTTGAGTCATTTCTTTTCAGAACAGGGAACACAGTAATACAGAGGTTGGAACGGTTAATTAGCCGCTACGACGGAAATAAGGAAATTGTAACAGTACAAAAATCCCTGACTGGTTCCCAGCTAATCATGTTCAAGTGACCCCATGAAGACCTGCGAATTCCATGACTAAAGTGGTTCACTTGCACCATTTCTCAGCTTCACAAGTGCTTACCAGTTTTGACATGAACTAAGAAAATGAGCCAGCAAAAGTGCAAAATGCCCCTTCGAGCCGAACAACCCGAACATTCTATACCTCACAGGTCTATAAAACTTTGAAGATACGTTGACAGTGTGGACTGAGACAGTCAATCGTTGTGTCTTCCTTGTGGAAACTCTCCTTCTTCTATGGCGGTGAAAGAGAGGGCACATTATGGTTGAAAGACTCAGCCCCCGCGACAAAAAGACGTGGATCTCGTTTCTTCGGGTGAGAAAGTGGGTAGGAATTAAGTGCGGGTATGTGAGAACACAATCATAAGATGCTCAACGGACAAGTAGTCCTGCCTGGTCGTTTGAGCTCGTTCCCCTCCCTGAAGTACCTGGAACGCTGTCCATCCTAGATCGTATTTGATGTTGCCAAAAAGTTGCCGATGAAGATCCAACGAGGCGGCGATTACTGTGATCACCGTGAAGATTACATTCAAAGCGAAGTTCGTCAAATAGAATACCAGGAATGGGCTGAAATGATGTAACAGTAAATAAAAAATAAAATAAAAATTGAAACCATGAATATTGATAAATATGGCATACTTAGAAACACACAACTGATCCTAACCTGAAGAAGAGTTTTTCCTTAGCGATGGCCCAGAAGAGTAATATGTGACAAGGAATACCAACAGTGAAAGCAAATATAAGATCGACTGAAAATACACTCGTCAAGCTACGAAGCAGAAGTTGACATACATTTCATTCCAAGCAGGAGGAAGCTCGGCCCACGTGTGGGCGGAGCTAGCTCCAATTGACAGCTGTTTACGCAAAAAGTCATCCAGTCCATGCACAGTTGTAGCTTCTTTTGAATATAACGGGTAGGTATGGGAGCAAGTTCTCGCAGGCTGGCTCGTTTGGCAAGTCTATTTTGAGGTCTTCGAGACTGAGTTTACTGGCGAGAGAACCACCTCAAGGTGATACGAAAACATGAGCTCCCACAAAGGCACAGTGCGTTGTCGTGCGGGCAGAGTTGGGCTGATCAATTGTGCCTTCTTCATTGGCGTCCCTCTTCTTCATCGACTCAGGGAAGAAGGAGCGCAGCCACGAAGGAGATGCACTTAACTTCAGTTACACAATGAACGTGGACAGCGCCTTCAAGTCCTAGGAGGTTCGCCCACACGCGAAATTCTGCAAAACGCTCCAAGCGAGGAATACTTCAGATGTGATGTGCCTGTGTGATGGCAACTTACGAATAGAGAGATATCGCTCAAAATGACACAAAAATAGGGAAGTTCGTGAAAAGTTCAGAAGAAGTTCTGAAGTGTAGAAGGCTCCGCCCCTAGCCGTCGGGGCATTCCTACAACTGACACAAGGCGAGTTTCCAAAAAAAGAACTGATGTCATAAACTTACCTAGTTCTAAATGATCAAGAAATGGATTTCGTCCCATGCCTCTGCTATGATAGAATGTGTACGTGATACAGAAGGCTATTGTTACAGCAAAACCTATCACACCAGCAATATAGGCGCCAACCTGAACAGTCATTTATAATTTTATGCTCTTCTAGGGCCGCATGTGCTAATTTGAAACGGATTTTGTAACTATAGAGAAAGAATCACTGCTACCATATGCTACATTCAATTCCTTGAGTTAAGGTACTTTCAATGCCCCGGTTATACTCCTTCCCTTCCACACTCTTAGTGCCCCGATTCCAGCGTGGTTGAATTGGAAGGACGGCAGGAAAGGATGTCCGCTCAGTGAAAGTCCAAGTGTTATCCAGGGCAAGCACTGACAGTGAAAAGTCCCCCTAATACGACCCATTTCCCGTGACTCGAAGTATAACCCTAACCCCGAGAATTCTATCGATCAATGATGAGCTGGATAAGATGGTTATACAGTCTTGTTCGCTGCGGATGAAGGGGCGTGTCGGGCGGCATGGGTTTGGCACGGTGCCAAAGCTAATTCTCCACTATTTGTTGAAACAAGCCAATGGGAAAAGTGTATCATATAACTCGTATCAGCCGCTTCAACAGTTTACAGAGCACGGCTTCGTCGCCGTGGCAAACTCAGATTGCCTGACACGCCCCTTCATTCGCAGCCAACAAGACCATAGAAGTACTGTGAATCCACCGAGTGTTTTCCTAGAATCCCTGGGATTTCCCACAATAATTCCCACTGAAGCAGACCCCTCTTCACAAATTAAACACGATCCTGTTCTTGAGTACAGGATACGACTCTCCTTCCTACCCCGCGGTTATGGGATCTTCAACACATGGCGTGTCATGAACACAATCTCATATGGAAAAGGTGTCGTCCCTGCCTCTTTGTCGTGAGTACTATTCAGATAAAGTAAAGGATCAGAATTAGCGACGAGATCGGCTCCATGATCTGACGAGATCAAACGTTCGAAAGTCGATCGATCAACCTGCTGCTGGAAATGAC